AATTGTGAACGAAAATTCGACATGATCTAAAGTTAGACATTAATGTGTTCACAGAACTATAGAGCCAAAACACATTACTGGCTCAACATACCTGATCTAAACCACCCATTTCTGATCATCTCTCGTTGGCTCTCTAGTTCTGTGAACGCATCGATGACCCAGTTTGCATGGGGGACTTTTACTGAAGAGAGTTTCAAGTCAACTTTAATATCATCAATCTTTGTCCCTGCTTTCAATTCTCTTTTTATTTCTGCGGCATATCAGGCCACAAATCATTTTTTATGCCCCGCCATGAATATGGCCGGGGCATATAGTGTATGTCATATCCGTCTTCAGTCCTTCTGTCTATCCTTCTGTCACACTTTGCATTTAGCTCTGTTCAAAGCTGACTTTCAAAGAAACTATCCAAGATATTTTTATCAAACTTCATATGCTGATAGATATTGATGAGAGGTATGCAACTGCATCGACATTTTTTAACCTTGACCTTTCCTTTGACCTTGACCTCACTTTTCTTAAATTAGTGTTTAGCTCAGTTTTAAAGATACCATTCAAGATAGTGTAATCGAACTTCATATGTTATACATACTGATGTAAGTTATTCAAATGCATCAACATATTTGACCTTGACCTCACTTTTCTTAAATTGGTGTTTAGCTAAGTTTTAAGGATGCCATTCAAGATAGTGTAATCAAACTTCATATGTTGATACATACTGATGTAAGCTATTCAAATGCATCAACATTTTTTGACCTTGACCTTTCTTTTGACCTTGATCTCACTTTTCTTAAATTAGTGTTTAGCTCAGTTTTAATGAAACCATTCAAGATTTTTAACAAACTTCATATGCTGATACATACTGATGAGAGCTATTCAACTGCATCAACATTTTTACCTTGACCTTTCCTTTGACCTTGACCTCACTTTTCTTATATTAGTGTCAAACTTCATATGCTGATACATACTGATGAGAGCTATTCAACTGCATCAATATTTTTTTACCTTGACCTTTCCTTTGACCTTGACCTCACTTTCTTAAATGAGTGTTAAGCTCAGTTTTAAAGAAACCATTCATAATATTTTTATCAAACTTCATATGTTGATACATACTGATGTAACCTTTTCAACTGCATCAAGAATTTTTGACCTTGACCTTTCCTTTGACCTTGACCTCATTTTCTTAAATTGGTGTCAAACTTCATATGCTGATACATACTGATGTAAGCTAATCAGCTGCATCAATATTTTTTTTCACCTTGACCTTTCCTTTGACCTTGACCTCACTTTTCTCAATTTGTGTTAAAATGTTGCATTACTAATATACCCTCAGCGGGGCATTCATGTCCTATGGACATATTTCTAGTTTACCAAGTCTTTGAACTGGGAATTTCCCGAAAGATCCAGTGGTTGCAATTCTCCTGTACACCCACCCGGTATGAATTTACTATGATGCCGTTTTTCTTTAATTTTTAGCTCACCTGAGCTGAAAGCTCAAGTGAGCTTTTCTGATCACATTTTGTCCGTAGTCAATCTGTCCGTCCGTCCGTCCATCTGTAAACTTTTCACATTTTCGACTTCTTCTTTAGAACCACTTGGCCATTTTCAACCAAACTTGCCACAAAGCATCCTTGGGTGAAGGGGGTTTTTGTTCAAATGAAGGGCCATGCCCTCTTCCAAGGGGAGATAATTAAGAATAAGTGAAAATTTGGTGTCTTCTTTTAAAAATCTTCTTCTCAAGAACCATTGGGCCAGAAAAGTTGAAACTTATGGGAAACCTTCATTACATAGTGTAGATTCAAGTTTGTTCAAATCATGACCCCCGAGGGTAGGGTGGGGCCACAATGGGGGATCAAAGTTTTACATAGGAATACATAGGAAAATTCTTTAAAAATCTTCTTCTCAAGAACAACAAAGCCACAATTAGTCATATTGATATGATATCATCCTCAGGTAATGAAGATTCAAGTTTGTTCAAATCATGACCCCCGGGGGTAGGGTGGGGCCACAATGGGGGATCAAAGTTTTACATAGGAATATATATATAGGAAAATTCTTTAAAAATCTTCTTCTCAAGAACAACAAAGCCACAATTAGTCATTTTGATATGGAATCATCCTCAGGTAATGTAGATTCAAGTTTGTTCAAATCATGACCCCCGGGGTAGGGTGGGGCCACAATGGGGGATCAAAGTTTTACATAGGAATACATAGGAAAATTCTTTAAAAATCTTCTTCTTAAGAACAGCAAAGCCATGATTTGTCATATTGATATGAAATCATCCTCAGGTAGTGTAGATTCAAGTTTGTTCAAATCATGACCCCCAGGGTAGGGTGGGGCCACAATGGGGGATCAAAGTTTTACATAGGAATATATAGGAAAATTCTTTAAAAATCTTCTTCTCAAGAACAACAAAGCCACAATTAGTTATTTTGATATGGAATCATCCTCAGGTAGTGTAGATTCAATTTTGTCGAAATCAAGACCCCCGGGGGTAGGGTGTGTCCACAATGGGGGATCAAAGTTTTACATAGGAATAAATAGGAAAAATCTTTTAAAATCTTTTCAAGTACAGGAAAGCCGTGATTAGTCATTTTGATATTGAAGCATCCCCAAGTATTGTAGATTCAAGTTTGTTCAAGGCATCCTCCAGTAGTAGGGTGGGGCCATAATCGGGGATCAAAGTTTAACAAAAGAATATATATAAGAAATATCTTAAAAAATCTTCTTCTCAAGAACAACAAAGCCATAATTAGTCATATTGATATGGAAGTATCCTTAGGTAGTGTAGATTCAAGTTTGTTCAAATCTTGAACCCCCCCTCCCTTCCTACCCCCCAGGGTAGGATGGCAGACATCTTAAAAATTCCGTTTCAAGAACAGCAAAACCATGATTAGTTATATGAATATAGAAGCATCCTCAGAAAGTTTAGATTCAATTTCATTCAAAACATGGCAACTGGGGAAAGGTTATGCCTAGAACAGTTGATCAAAGCTTTACGTATGAATATATAGAAGAAGAAATCTGCTGACAAAGAACAGCAGGGCCATATTGACTCAGGTGAGCGTTGTGGCCCATGGGCCTCTTGTTTAAGAAATGATTCCGTTCTGTGTGCAGCAAAAACATCAAACACACACAAGGCAGGATGTTTTAAAGCTAAATCTAAGGAATCACACATTTTGTTGATGTACGGTAGAAGAACTGTGTCAACAAATCTACACATCGTATCTTCATTGGACCAATGGTTTTCAGAATAATGAATATCCCATCCTCTTGGAAAACAAACAGACGCTGGGGTACATTGTGGTGTTTTACCCTGATACAACAGCTGAGGCGGGAGAATTTTTCCAGACATCGAACATGTTAGAAGGGCTGTTATCTATCTCTTATCCTCCAGTCCTACAATCTCCACTTGCTTTTCGCCTGAAATTTAAAATAATGTGCATGTCAAACAAATACGATAAATTGATGAGTTTTTGTAAACAGTGCATATAAATTCTAAAATGACTTTAAATCAGTTTAAATGATTAAAACAACTTTTTCAAAGTTTTATAAAAGGGGTTTTAATGGTGTAATTAGTTAATCACACCTACCGACACTGTGCATCGTCCAATTCCGGCAGGGGATAATTGACAAGTTCGTCTGGTCAAAGAGCAGGACAAGTTCTTCAGAAATGTTATGTTCGTTTCTAATTTTCTTTACAGAAGACAAGAACTCTGACTTTTGTTCTTCAAAATCCATGGGCAGTTTTCTGGCTGCTTTTGTCCCTTTTCGTTTTACAAAGCCCAGTCATCTCAAAAATGATTCAGCCCAGGATCGATCCAATGCAATGGGCCCTCCATTTTCTGACAGTAAGGAGTGGTCTTTGTACTCAACTATTCCCTTAGCCTCCGCAATTAAAATATGTCTATTAACAACAGATCCAACGTTGCGTAACTTTTTGATGTAGTCAACGACTTCGCTGTCATACTTCCCCAGGATTGGGGGTCTTCCCCGTGACGCTAGTGGCAGAGAATTACAAGTACCATCTTCGGAATTCTGTAGTTCCCTCAGATACTGTTTTTTTATTGACCTAACAGTAGATTCATTTATTTCTCGCTGTAGTTCTTTAGAAAAGCGTTTAGCAGCACTCGTACTTCCATGTTCACAGGCCCACTTAGTGATCTTGGCTCTATTCTCTGGAGTGTAATGACCATAGTTTCCACGTTTATGTTTTCGGGATTTTTCAATTGTCTCCATGACACGTTCATTGGCAACCTGAATGGACTGTACTTTTTCTGGTGTTTTTCCAAGGCAGGGTTAGGCAACAATGTCAATATTTCTATTGAGATGCATGGACCATTATTAATGCGTTTTGGAATTAAATATTTTCGCAAAGACATAATAAAAGAATTTTTAAAACAGTCATATCTTCAGTATAAAACACTTGCTACCATTCTCGTTAAAATTCCCAGGTGAAATGACTGAAGTTTGATAGCTAGGTACACCTTAATTATACGGTCCGGTGCCTAAAAATAATACGTAAGTACAGCTCACTACCATACAAGTGTAAATAACAACACGGGTGTGGATCTTTAATTTTTTTTCTTTATGCGGAATGTGTTTTTTTTTTTAGGAAGGCTTCATCGCGAAAAATTAATCGTCACGAACTAGTTTACCCCTGGTAAATTGCGAAATAAAGTCGCCGCAAATAAAAGTTGGTGTACAGTATATTTTTTGGGTTTCTTCCCCGGAATTTAAATCTAAATTTCTCATTTTAAAGGCCAAAACGCCCCTCGTTCTTAGTCACCAATTAGAGCCCTGAGATGATACTTTTTGTATGTCCAATCATGAATATGGCCAGGGTATATAGTGTTTGTCTTGTTTGTTTTCCATCCTTCCATCCCTCTTTTTTCTTCCTGTCTGTCTGTCCATCATACTGCATTTAGCTCAGTTTCAAGAAACAGAAATTTTCAATGCATCCAGTTACTACTTTAGATAAAAAATATTTTTGATATATGTAGGAAAGACAGGAAAGTATGCAGGAGGTAATCCTGTCTGTCCACGTCCAACTCCTGATTGGCAGAAAGGAATTAATTCATTTTTCCAGTCCCCCCAGAAAGGAAAAGAAAACCAAACACCAAGTGACATGGAATCTAGCAAGAGCAGCAGCCAGAGTAGTTCTTCAAATCCAGGTAAGATATGCTCATTTTAGCTCAATGATGTTTTTATACCCCCTGCAAACGAAGTTTGGGGGTTATATTGGAATCAGAATGTCCGTCTGTTTGTTGACATGATTTAGTGTGGACCTGTTCTCGGAGACTTCAGCATGGATTTGTCTGAAAATCTGTACACTCATTATTCACCATATGAAGGTGTGCACCTCATATTTTCATTATGAATGGATAATTTTTCTGTGTTTTATAGGTTTTTATACACCCGTCTTTAGACGGGACGTATTATGTTATGGTGTTCATGTCTGTCTGTCTGTTAGCTTTTCTCGTGACCGGCTCATAACTTTAATACTATTAGGCCTAGGATTATCAAACTTTGTCAGCTGATACTTCTTGGGTAGAAGGTGTGTCGCGCACTAAAAGTAGATCGCTCTGACCTTTCATTAAGATGCTATGGCCAAATATGGAAAAGTCCTGTCCGGCTCATAACTAGAAAACTATTGGACTTAGAATCATCAAACTTGGCCAATTTATGCATCTTAGGTAGAAGGTGTGTCGTGACCTATTTCAAGGTCACTGTGACCTTTAATTTAAGTGAAATTTAAAAATAAATCTGTCTTTTTACTATTAGATTACACAATCCCAAAAATGCAAGAGTGTTGCAGTATCCTTATTAAAAATATGTTAAATCAAGAAAATACTTATTTTTTCATTATATACTTTACAACAATTAATCTATAACAAATGTAATGTTACAAGAGAAATTCCACCTCTCCCATGGGTGTAATTATCAAGCACTGGTCAAGGAGAATTTGATAACAGAAAATTGCATGTCAAATTAGAGAGAAATTAATGTGTTGAGTGTGAGGAGCTAACTGGTAGAGCATCTCTGATCAAGCAGGTGTTATCTATATCTCATGGGACCTGGGTAAAAAGAATCAGCCCTGTTGGATTAAAGAGTTGGCTAGCCTAACTTTGAAAATGAATTTGTTGAAAAGTAATTAAAACTTATTTGATATTGTATAATAAATTAATTTTATATTGTAAAATAAACTAATTGATATTGTATAATACATATAATTAAAACTAATTATCTCTTTACAACTTACTGAACTGTGACGCAACATACACTTTATGTTCACGTCATAGAAATATGACGTTATCTTTTCCCCGTAAGCACTTTATAGCGAGGTACAAGTTTCTCTAAAGTTTAGCGTAAATAATTATGACGTAATATTTTAATAAGATAATAACTTTTCTTATTTTATGAGATTATAGCAAGTATAAATTAGAAGGGAATTGGCATTAAATTGAAGAATAAATTTACTTTTGAAAGTGCGTGAAACATGTGTGATTGCGGGGAAACGGTATATGCGTGATTTTGCGTTAGAAATAGGAAATGGTATATGCGTTAAAATGCGTGACTGCGGGGAAGAGGGTTATACTTGGGAGGGGGGGTATTGGAATCAGCATGCCCGTTGTCTGTATGAATTGCAGCTTAAAACCAGTCTGACATTAAATCTAAAAATAACCAAGTATTTAAAAAAATGTTTTAATTATGGTAGATAGTCCCTACAAATCTAAGAGCAGATAGTATGTATAGATCCATTCATCCGTTTGGAGTGATGAGTGGACATGCATCTAGTTAAAGATTAATTAATGAGTTCAGTGTAGGAAGCTAGCTGTCTCAATCATTTCTGTTAGAGGATCTCTGATCAAGCAGCTCTTATCTGTATCCTTTGGGAATTAGACTGAAGAACTGCTTATCAGTTTATAGCATATGTCATTTGATGGCCAGCCTTTTATTTTTGATATTAATTTGATATAGATAAGTTGTTAAGACTAAATTGATATTGTTTAATATGATATTTTGAATTAATTTTTTGAAAATATCAACAAATTCAGAGCATCTTGTCTCAAATCTGAAAAGGGGGGGGGGGGGGGGGGGACTGCAGATGGGCATTTGTCAAGCTCTAACACAACCAGTTGAAGATCTATAATGTAATATTTGTTATCATAATTAATGCCTACACCACAGGAGATGTATAAACAAATATTATGAGGAATGGAAAAATCATTGAAATCCTTGTATCAAGGTTGACATGATTTTTTTGCACTCTAAACTGTTTATGACAATTGAACAATATTTGACAGGCGTATCATGCTGTGGCGGGGCACTTTATTTTTTTTTTTCATTTTTATTGACTTAGTTATTTTGGGTTTATGTAGGTTTGAGACATAGAATCTAGAACTGCACATTTGAAAATCCGTATAAAAATGTGATTCACAGCTTAAAAACTACTCATTAAAACTAAAAAAAAAAAATTACCGAAGTATTTTAAAAAAGTTTTTTTGGTAGATAATCCATACAAATCTAAGAGTCATGCAGTAACCTTGTTAAAAAACTAGAGTGTTCCAAGGAACATGTGTGGCCTGCTCTGTAGCTTCATTAAAGATGTAAATAAATCAAAGTGTAGTTAGCTATTTATTTACTACTTAGCATGATAGTTCTTGAATGCACAAAAAAAAGCATCCACACATAGTATAAGACTGCGATAGAGTCTGACAATCAAAGAAAATATGATTCCCAACCCTCAAATGAATAATTAAGTTGAAATTATTATAAATAATTTATCATTTTACATGTGTTAATGCGTGTTTCAAAGTTACACCAATTGTCAGTCTACACGATCTGTCATTGGATACTGATCCCGATGTATTTTCATAATAATTATTTAAATATCAGTTTGTGTGGTAACTGAATATCATACAGTTTCAAAGTACAGTATTATGAGCTCATAAACATGTATAAATGCTAATTATCAACATCCTGCCTCTCAAAATTCAAAAGTCTTAAAGTGTCCAGAGTATTTTTAGCAAAGTAGATCAAAAATCAAGGTCAAGTGAATTGTAACAATCGTATTTTTTCTAATGTTTTATGACAATCAGTGCACATGCTAAATAGCAAATACTTACCCCTTAAATGTCAAAAATATGCTCTATATTGGCACTTTTAACTTTTTTATAAAGTTAATCAAAGGTCAAGGTCAAGGGTCATGAAGTCGGTAACCATGGCAATGCACAAATGCCATAGTGCCAAGCAATAATATAAGTGTAAAATATCAAGTTTATATCTCTTACAGTTCTTGAGATACAAGGTGTGACAGATGGACAGACAGACAGACGGACGCCGGATAAAGTGATCCCTAAGTGCTGCTCTGCTCTGCAGGTGACACAAAAAGTTGCATCAAGTTTTTTTTAGCTCACCTGATCTGAAAGTGCATTTGCTCCGTGGAACTCCGTGCTGGTTAATCAACGTTAAGTAGTTTGAAATGACTTTAAAAATAATTCATTGAAGATTTTAGAATAAAAATCATTGAATTGCATATCATCTGCAGTGTGCATTTTCCTACTTTCGATATTGTACTGATGTGTCAATAAATTTAACAGAGATGGGATTACCAGTCAGCAATCTTGTGTTTTTTGGAAGATATCTTCTTAAATATTATTTTGTTTGTAAAACAAAAGCTCAATCTAAATTAAAAAAACTAAGAAAGGAATATTCTGTATTTGTACTATGCTCACCAAATCCATGTTGAGTTGTCAATTATCTTATCCGACGTAATTTTTTTAAATTATAAATTATAATTGTAGAACCTGGTGTAGATGTAAATAATTACTACATCAAAATATGACACAGAAAATATGTTTAATTTAATTTGAATCGGATGAAAAAAATAGTTATGAAAAGATTGACTTAAATTTCCGTCCCGTAATGGAACCCATATTGAGATGAGACCCGATGTAGTCTCTATGTAATGAGTAAACCTCTGCCCATCCCATTAGAAACTAGTATTAATTGTAACGGGGACCGTTACAGATGTTCCCCAAACGCTCCCCAACTTCCTTTTGGTGTCTTATTCCCTGTAAGCTTCATTAAATAAGGCAATGAAGTATATTGGGTTTTTTTACGCATTACACGAGCGCGCACGGGCATGCATGTACAAAATGACCACGTCAACTTGTCTACACTTTTAATACATCTTTATATTCAAATTTCATTAAAAGATAAAAAAAATTCGGCTATATTAAGTATATCTGTCATTTTACGCATTGCACGCGCGCGCACCTGCATGCATGTCCATGATGACCGTGTCATCTTGTCAACACTATAAATATATCCACATATTTTGGGTATCAAATCATTGCATCAAAAAGTATAAAAGTTACAGCTATATCAAGTATATTGGTAATTTTAGCATTGCATGCGCGCGCACGTGCATGCATATGCATGTTGACAATGTCGTCTTGTCTACATTTATAATATGTCTATTATATATTCTGAGTATCAAAGCATTAGATCAAAAAATGTAAAAGTTATGGCTATATCAAGTATATTGGTCATTTTACTTATTGCACGCGCATGCACGTGCATGCAAATGCATGCATGTGCGCGCTGATCATGTCATCTTGTCTACACTTCTAATATATATTTATATTCTGAGTTTCAAAGCAGTTCATCAAAAAATATACAAGTTAAGTCTATATCATTTGTATAGGTTATTTCAATCATTGCGCATGCGCACACGTTCATGAATGTGCATTCTGACCATGTCATCTTGTCTACACTATTAATATATCCTGATATCCTGAGTATCAAAGCATTTCATCAAAGGATATGAAAGTAATGGCTATATCAAGTATATTTGTCATTTTACTCATTGCATGCGCACGCACGTGCATGAATCTGTGCGCTGATCAAGTCTTCTTGTCTACACTTCTAATTAAGGTCTTCCGTCTCCAACGGAAGACCTTATTGTTTTCGTTCGGTTTCTTTTTCCCTATTATTAAGGTCTTCCGTCTTCACGGAAGACCTTATAGTGATTCTACTGTTTCTTATTATTATGTCTCCCCTTCCAGGGGAGACATATTGTTTTTGTCGATTTTCTTCTTCTTCTTCTTCTTATTCTTCTTCTTCTCCATCCAAATTTTGTCCAGGCCATAACTTTAATACCCTTTGACATTAAGACTTCAAACTTGGAACATAGATAGATGACATTGAGAAGGAGTGCACGCCACCAACATTTTTGACCTTGACCTATTTATAAGGTCAAGGTCAATCTTTTACATCAAAATAGAGTTTAGCCCATAACTTGAGATCCCTTTGATATTAGGACTTCAAACTTGTAACATAGGAAGAAGACCTTGAGACAAAATGCACTGCATTAGAATTTTGACCTTGACCCCTTTCTGCCTTCAAGGTGAAATAGGGAAAAAACACGATCTGACCATAACTTGAGAACCTTTTGACATTAGGACTTCAAACTTGGAACATGCAGAGGTGGTATAAAGGAGGGATGCATGCCACCAAAATTTTTGACCTTGATTCAATTATTATAAGGTCAAGGTCAATCTTTTACATCAAAATAGAGTCCAAGCCATAGCTTGAGTACCCTTTGATATTAGGACTTCAAACTTGTAACATAGAAAGAAGACATTGATACAAGATGCAACACACCAAAATTTTTGACCTTGACCTCTTTTCTTCCTCAAGGTCAAATAGGGAAAAAACTTGATTAGACCATTACTTAAGAATCCTTTGTTATAAAGACTTCAGACATGGAACATGCAGAAGTGGTATGAAGGAAGGATGCATGCCACCAAAATTTTTGACCTTGATCCAATTATTATAATGTCAAGGTCAATCTTTTACATCAAAATAGAGTCCAGGCCTTAGCTTGAATACCCTTTGATATTAGGACTTCAAACTTGTAACATAGAAAGAAGACATTGTTACAAGTTGCAACACTTCAAAATTTTGACCTTGACCCCTTTCTTCAAGGTCAAATAGAGAAAACATGACTAGACCATAACTTGAGAACTCTGACATTAAGACTTCAAACTTGGAACATGGAGAGGTGGTATAGAGGAAGGGTGAATGGCAACATTTTTTCACCTTGACCTTTTAATAAAGTCAAGGTCAATCGTTTACATGAAAATATAGTCTAGATCATAACTTGAGAACTTTTTGACATTAGGATTTCAAACTTGGAACAAGGAAAGACAACATTGAGACTAAATGTACTGCATCAAAATATTTGACCTTGACCACTTTCTTCAAGGTCAAATTAAGAAAAACACAACCAGACCATTACTTGAGATGCGTTTGACATGAAGACTTGAAATTTTGTACACAGAATTTGAGTTGAGATGCACTGCATTATTATTTTTGACCCTGATCATATATTTGCACTCGTTAATGTTGGTAAAGAAGGGGAGACATGTGTTTTTTTTGTAAAAAAAACAATACCCACTAGTTATTATTATTTTTTTGACTTTCTAATTTTGTGCAATTGATTTCTCGAAGACTATTGGACGGATATACATGAAATTTTCAGGAAAGAGGTGTCGTAACATGAACTTGATCTATCTGAGAGAAAATTTGGAAATTCACTTCCGGTGCCAAGTTAGGGACCATTTTCTGAATTTAAAATGACATTTTGTCCGCGGATAATCTCAGGAACGGTAAAAGATATCAATGTGAAACTTTCAGGGATTATAGATCGTGATAGGTACAAGCCTGGTCGCTACTTTTCGTTCGTCGTCGGCACTTCCGGTCGCTTACGGAAGTGATTAAAGAAATCTTAAAATTTCAACTTTTCTTTTTTAAATTAATACTTATACCACATTATTGCATCTTTTTTGCAGTTTCGAAATATGTTGGTCCCACTGGAAACAAAAACGTCAACTTCCGGATATAAGAGAAAAACGACATAATTTGAGTATTTTTCTTTCCCATTAATATCTTTTGTAGATAAAGTATTTGAAATGAATTTTAAATATGTTATTCAGATAGCAAATGTCTAGAAAATCCCTAAATATCTTTCAAAAAATCACTTCCGGTCGCGTGTTCTCCTGTCCTCAAAATGAGAAGTTGTCTGAGCGAGATCTCAAAAACAGGTAAAAGATTAAAACACCAAACTTTTATGAGTAATAGACCTTGAAGAGTAGGCGAAACGCGTCAGTCGTCACTTCCACTTGTCACAGGAAGTGATCAAAGATATCGAAAATTTTAACCTTTTTCTTTTTTAAATTAAAACTTGCATCACTTTATTGTATCTCTTTCGCTATTTTGAAATATGTTAGATTCCATCGGAAGCAAAAACGTCACCTTCCGGTTTTAGGAGATAAACTACTTTATTTTGATATTTAACTTTCTCATAAATATTGCTTATCGATAAAGTACCTGAAATGATTTTATGTATGTTGTAGATACTGCAAATGCCTAGAGAAAAGTCAGAGATTTTTAAAAAATTCACTTCCGGTCTCTTGTTTTCCTGTCCTCAAAATTATAATTTGTTCTCACAATATTGCTCGGCAACAGTAAACGACTGAAGTCTAAAACGTTCAGGACTGATAGTCAGTCATCAGTTTATTTGAGTCGTGAGAAAATCTTGTATCGCTGTTACTTCCGGTCGTGACAGGAAATGATGCAAAAAAGTGAATGGTTAATGGTTAGCACGTTGGATTTTCACGCTAACGACCAGGGTTAAATCTCCAGTGTCTGAATTTCTTTTATCACTTTTTCAGCTTGAATTTTCGTTTTCAGAATCGGACGGAAGACCTCTCATTGCTCGCAATGAGTTTCTAGTTATTATTATTATTAAGGTCTTCCGTCTCCAACGGAAGACCTTATTGTTTTCGTTCGGTTTCTTTTTCCCTATTATTATTATTATTAAGGTCTTCCGTCTCCAACGGAAGACCTTATTGTTTTCGTTCGGTTTCTTTTTCCCTATTATTATTATTAAGGTCTTCTGTCTCCAACGGAAGACCTTCTTGTTTTCGTTCGGTTTCTTTTTCCCTATTATTAAGGTCTTCCGTCTCCAACGGAAGACCTTATTGTTTTCGTTCGGTTTCTTTTTCCCTATTATTATTATTATTTTTCTTACCGATTTTGTGCACGCGAGTTCTCGGAAATGGCTCGGTCGATTTTCACCAAACTTTCAGATCTGATAGATATTCATCTGAACCTTGTCGGAAATTTTCGTCGTTGATGATGTCACTTCCGGTCGTGAGAAATGGACGATTTTCTGATTTTCAGAGGGTTGGCTTGTCCTGGCAATCACTCCTAAACGACTCAAGATATTAAGTTGAGCTTTTCAGTGAAGGTGGAAGAAGGATTGTAAATTTGCTTTTTTGCATCTATATCTTCCCGGCACAAAAGGCGCCGAAGCTCGCCTGGGCTCGAAAAATAGGCTCAAAAGCATCTCGCAAAATTTGACACGTTTTCTTTTATATTTTTATACCTGTAAATATTTTGTAAAAACATATATAACAAAAGTTGTGCAGAATGATAGGAGCTTTCATTTGATATCAAGAAAAAAGGGCTGCTTCCTCCTATTAAGGGCTCAAAGGGGCCAAAAGTCTTTTATCCATAACTCTTTAACGGTCAATATTTTGTTATAAAT